TCCAAAGGAAAGAAGGCACCGCGGTGAAGATTCAATAACGGCGGAATCTCTTTCCCGATACTGTTCATCCCGTTCATCGCTAAAGTAGGACCTTTTGTGGGTATTTTGTTCATTAGAAGTTGATTCACATTGCCATGAACCACTAAGCAGCTCACAGAAAGGATGATTCCACTGAATGTGTAAAACTTCCACTTGAGAGTCAACACTTGACGGGCTGGTGAACACGTGACTACATAATGCTGATTGAGGTATTGAATGATGAGTTCAGCTGCATCCTGTCTAGGTGAGTGCTAATCACACTACTGATCAGTCACTCTCGTAGCCAAACGGTTCGGTGTTCAAGCCCTGACCGGAAGGTTGCGAGTTCGAAACTCATGAGATCTGCATTGCTGGTGATTCCTAGTCAGAAAGAACCATCCCTATAGTGCTTCTCAGCCTTTCAGCATAGACTGCTTCACTGACAGAATGAGACCTCTGTTGAATTCAGTGTTTTCTCAGATGAAATCGAATAGACTCCACATCAGGTACACATCCATGAGATTTACTGGCCATGAACTTCAACTAGGCTTCGAAAATTGGAAGCTCATCGATGACGGTTTCGTTATTGCTGGACGACAGGCTAAGCAACCTATATGATTTCTTCCAGGTGACGGAGTTACTGAATGCGACAGTCAGCTGTGAATACATGTTGTGCGCTTGAGTTAGAGAGACACTTCCCTCTCTCTCTCTACTCTGTAAAATGCACGGCTTCTCAGTGAGAGTTCTCACGATATATCACTGAGAAGCTTATCCTTCGCTCACCCGTCGCCGCTACCGTTTTCCCAGGCCGTGGCCTTTAGCCTTCTATACTGTTGACCGCAGTGCCTTACCCGATGCGAAATGCAAGCATCCTTCACAGAGCAGCAACGCAACTTCGACTATCCACTAGAGCTTTTACTCAGCCTTGTCACCAATACCCTTGATTGCTTCGTTTTGTGGCATCCACAGTTTCCCACACAAATCAGACCGAAAAGAAGTGAACCGAAGTCAAATGATGGAACACGTTTCAACTATTCCGGTTTATTACCTCCCTAGTGTCTATCTGGTTCTGAGATTAGCTGACATAAGCAGACGGCTGTTGTAAGTGTGTGTATCGCGAAAACAGCGCGTGTTCCGCATGGATGAATATAGGTAAGCAAACAGCGGTCATGAGCTGCCGAACAGTTTTACCCACCTTTTGAGTGGTTTCGTTCGAGAAAATGTACTGCAACAAGTGGACTACTGTATCACTTGAAACACGAAGCGGCTTTTTTTGGTGTAGCACATTCAGTTGAAGAATATCATAAATGCGTGATTCGACTAGGATTCAGGTGTGTCACCCATTAAAACCGAACGGTGTACCAGTTAGCGTATTTCGTGAATTTCGTACAATGTGAGTCTGAGCGGAACATAAGAAAGATGACGAAAACCGAGAAAGTGCATCCACCTGATGCGTTCCAAAATGGTGAAACCGGTCGTTGGCATTCTGGGTGCTGAATCTAACTTGACCTTATGATAATTCCCCCATTCATTTGCTTAGTCCGCCGATGTACTTTTGATTTCCAGTTGTTTGGCTTATGCGCACCCGACACACCTTGACGCAGAGACCGTCCTTTTCTACACTTGTGTATTGACATGTGTCTGTGTGAGTGCGCGCTGCTGACTTGCTTACCTGTGTGCTTTCATGTCCCGTTTGCTGAGCGTGCCTTGACTTGTTTTCTCATGAGTTCCGTGTGATCGCACGTCCAATGAGAATCATGAGACCGTCGTCGAAAGGGACGACCGCAACCCACGCTACCGAGCCATCATTCCGCTCGCCGTTGTTTGGTTTGCGGACGTTGGCACTGCACTGTGTCGAGAAGTATCAGACCTGTGAACTTGTTGCTGGCATGCAAGGAAGCCAATTTTTAACCACTGCACGAAAAGTTGTCACGAAAAATACCTCTTTTGAAAACTGTTCACACCGACTGTAGCACAGTGTGACACCAGGGAATCCAAAGTCATCGGGAAGAAGGCATACACGGTTAGCGAATACACTCATTTGCGCAGTAATTTGGTTTCTCGAGAGACTCACCCGGAACTCAGATGAACCTGTAGTTTGTGATGTATCCAGGCGACTGAATGTGCTGCACCAGGCCGCAAACGAGAGATTCAGCTGGGTTCCAGGTGAGTCTCTCGAAAAACCAAATTAGTTTGAAAATGAGTATATATTCGCTAATTTCGTGCAATTTGGTTTCAAGTAGAACATAAGGTTGACGGAAACCCGGGGACTGCGCCTACCTGATGAGCCCCAAAAAGGGAGAAACCGGTCGTGGGCTGTCGATAGATTTTCAGCAACTTTACAAAAGGTACACACAACTTATTCCATAGAACTGGTTATCCCAGGAATTTTTCACTTGCGTTCCTTTGGAAACTCAAGTGAAATGTGTTGTACTGAGATCAATCCGGGAATGATGGCAACAGGGTTACTTCAGCATAAGGGTGGTTCGCAAGCCCCCAGAACAAAAAGGAAAAACATGGGGAAAATTAAGAATCCCAAAATAACGTACAATTTAATGCATGGATTGTGATGGACTAAGTTAGACATACGAGAAAAAACTGTACACTCACATTTGGCGAACAGATGTGAACAGATTTCGCTCGTTTCCGTACGCGAAGATCTGGAGGAAAACCAAGTTGACTGAAATTCGACAAAATGAAAAAAGAAAAAAAAGGTGGGTTTGGGTTATCCTGGTACTCAAATGAGAATGTTATCAAAAAGTAATGAGAACAGCCCAGCTTATCGATTCAGTAGGACAAAGGAATCTTCTAAATCATCAGGCCCAAACCACTGTAGAAAAAAAGCTTTAAAACGCAACGGACAAAACCATGATCTGTAGGAATAGACAGAAAGCGAACAAACAAATCAGAAAGGCAAACGACACTAAAATGGACACCTTTTAGATCGGGAAGACGTCTTGTGAGCCTGCTGAAAATCAGGTCACAGTGCAACAGAAATTGTGGATGAATCCGAAAAGGGGAACAGAGCTACTGAAATGAAAGCATTCAACGAGCCAATCAAACGAAAGAGAATCAGACCATAACGTGACACGGTTTCAAGTTGACCTATTGGACTACACACAGACCGATCTTTACACAGCCATTCGTAGTACCAGAGACGTTAAATTTCTCTGAAAACCATGTGAATATCTAGAAAAGTGAAGAAAATACCCTTGTGTGACTACGAGACATCTACAAGCTAGCTGCTTAGTTCGACAAACAGGTCAACTGCCGCCCAATCAAAGGGCCAAAAAAGAAACGCCAGCTACCGAAGAAGATCGATCATGTTCTTCTACGGAGTTGCTTGTTGTAAAACACGAAAAAACTGGTTACAACCAATCAAATGCGACAGCGGGAAACCCATTTGCAGAGGGTTTGAGAAACTCGGTGTTTTCAGGCGTATTCCTATGCTTTCCTGGGCGAAAACGAACCCAATCCGTAGAGCAGCTCACTAATCTCCAACTCATACGTCCAGTATTTGCACGCGTGACCTTTTCAACTCCGAATAGATAGTACTCGCACGTTCTATAAGTAGTATACATCGGTACACCAATCTTTTGACATAAGGTGAACCGCTAATAGCTTTTTTCAAAAGGCTCATTGGTAGACGAGTTTTACGCGTGTTTGAATCAGTATTCTACGTTTTCTGATTTCCGCTAAAACTAAGCTCTGTAACCGATCCAAATAGTGATCTATGACTTTCAACTCGTCTTGTGGATGAAGTCTGAAGGTACTGTCCTTCATTCCTTCGCATGCAATCGTTTATCGACAGACAGTTTGTTTCCATAGGACTCGGGACGGCTGGAGAGAGTTACATAGGCTCGCGTTCCGGTCTGATCATTTGCAGGTCGTCTCAAGCTGCTCGTTTACTGTGCTCAGCGCTTTGACTCTCACGATGAAGCTTCATTTACTGTCAACTAATGAACAGTTTTCTTGGGGATAGCGGGAGAAAACTGCACTTTGAAGACAGTCAGAAAACACCTGAAAACCATACACATTGACCTATTTTTATCATCTGCCATATGGTCGGTGAGCTCAGCGAAAAAATGTTCGCTGAACTGTTTACATGGTTCTGACGGTCGTGGAACTGTTCGTGCATTCTTAAAATGACAAAGCATGCTCTGGTAGATTGTATTCAGTGTTCTAAAAGACCAATGGGCAGCAATGTCAGTAACATCCCTGGGACACACGTATGATTATAAGTTGGCAATTAAATGAACAGATAGAAATCCTATGTGCACATGTGAAGTAGGCACGGTCTGCCTTAGGTGGCTTCAATCACTCTCAACACCATTTAGCCCGTTGCTTCTAGCGAAATACACTCGTTTGCAAACTAATTCGGTGTTGCGAGAGTATTTCCCCAATTTCGTGCAATCTGGTTTCAAGTAGAACATAAGGTTGACGGAAACTCGGGGACTGCGCCTACCCGATGAGCCCCAAGCGGAAGGGCGAAACCGGTCGTGGGCTGTCAAACAGTCTTCAGCAACCTTATGAGTAGTGTATTACAAATATAAATGTTGCTTCTACTTTTAACCACATCTTGGCTCAATTACCCACACCAGCTGACGGATATTGTTCAACTATGGTTTGAATCTTCTCCAGGAATACAGTCGTTTTATTTCTCTAGTCCACATGATACTAAGCAGTTGGCTCAGTCTTGCTGTTCAGGACTTCTTTAGGGTTCAAGTTTTTCTCCACTTCACCAGTTCAAAAATGGGGTCATTTAGTTGACTTGCTCGGTTGGAAACAAGGCCATCATCCCACCAGATGGCCACTGATTTATCCAGGATGTTGGAGTGCTTTAAAACAAAAAGTCATCAACCTAAAGAGGTCAACTAGGTCTATTATCTTCATACGTATACTCGTGGGGATTTCGTTCCCTAAACGAAGTCAGTCTATGCTAAAAAGACGAAAAGCACCTAACTGAGAATCATCAGCAATCCAGGAGATCTTCAGACTGTAACTTTCCGACTAGTAGTTCAAACATCAAACCGTTTGGAGCGGATAGCTTCCAGTATGATTATGTCACATTTAGTTGGGATACACTCCACACACTCTTATGTCAAGAGGGTCCAAGTCACGAGGTCACGTGTTTTGCGTAACTCATCGGGTGCTTACAATTTACTGGACCCATCTATTAATCATAAAGTGACCCAGTGAAGTGAGCACTGTCTTTATTTTCAGCAGGGAATTATCCAAATTCTACGCAACCCTCCAACCGTCTTGTCGATTATTTACAACATCTTTTCGAGGTTTCAACGATCTATCCGGGATTGTTTGGTCCATTTTGTAGAGCTGCCCAATTTTCACCCTAGAATTTAGCCTTGCCTTTCATCTTACTGTGATATGGATCTAACAAAGGCTCAAACAGGCCGAACTTCAGTTATTTGTTTGACAATACGGATTTGTTTAGGACATCCCTGCCAGTACCTAGGAATAGGTGATGCGCAAACGGAAATAGGTCTCAGCCTCCAACGGTGAACAAAAAAAGCAGCTTATAAGTGCACAAGTCGAATTTCGTGCAATTTGAGTTTAAGTGTAACATGAGGTTGAAGGAGAGTCAGGGACTGCGCCTACGTGATGAGCCCCTAGAGGGATAGGACCGGTCGTGGGCTGTCGAATAGTTTTCAGCAACCTTGTGAGTGGCTTCATTTGCGAAAATATGCTGCGATTTCTCGAAAATCGTGCTAGCTGTAACATAAGGAGACCTTTGTTTAGTTAAAGAATATCATAAATCTGAGGTTCAATTGAGTCTACCGTGAAAACCAAACTGATTTGCAAACGACTGTATTTGTTGAAATCGGTCCAATTTGGGTTTAAGAAGACGGAAACTCGTGGACTAATGAGACCCTTGAAGGGGTAAGACCGGTCGTGGGCTGTCGAAGAGTTTTCAGCAATCTCGTGAGAGCAGTCTTACATCCAAAAGTTATTTTACCGATTCGAGACACAAGATAAGTCGCAGGTTCTCAGAAGCCACTGCAGAAGCGACTACATCACTTGCAGTCGCAGCCAAAATGTAGAAAATAATTTCATGATCCATCAAATCTCACAAATTTGAGCCTTCCGACTAGAATCGATGACATACGACTCTGAGGAGGTGTGAAATGAAATATATTATGCTACCTAATAATTTCCAAGTGATCAAAAACGCCGCTTGTGATGACGAAATCTTTACGAGGGTGAACCTCTGATCGAGTATCTTTGACAGAGTTCTTACAAAGTAAGTTGTTTCTTAACAACAAACATCTTTTTCCGCATACTCGAACAGACAAGGCGCTTCCACCTCGTGTGGTTGCTTGGAAAAATCCTTGCACCTTGACTGCAGTAGAACTTAAACAGCGATACGCAAAGATCCGGTGGAAATTATATTCAAAGAAGACGTGATCTGTTTGTAAGTCCTCTGTCGCGAGACCTTCCAGTGACAAGACATCAAGTTGAATAAAACAGAGATGGCTGTCATCACGAGTCTCTGAAGAACACGCGGTGAACATCTAAAAAGTGAGCCAAGGTATACCGTGCAAATAAGTGCCACGAGACCACCGCAAAAGCCGACCTTGATTAGAGAACCTATCGGAATAATTTAATTTTTTCTAACGTTCTACGTTTCTACGTTCCACGCAAATACCAACAGAGGGTTACTCTAGTGAAGTCGTGGAAAAAGGGATTTTTTGTACATCAGAATATCTGGAAGTTATTTTGATTCCCCCCAGGCCAGTTCTTAGGTCTTTCCGATCCACTCGACCCTAATTTCTGTCAAAAGGGTCAGTGATTACTTTCATTACTACTTTGCTTATCTTCGCTAATTTAAGTGCCACTTTTCTGCAATTGGTTGAATCTTATCCAATGTAAAATCTATATTCTTTGTGAACCAATGGGTTCTGCCTGCTTTAGCAAGACAGAGCTGCTCAGCACCACACACTGGTTACACAGCAGAGCGACACAGCGACAGAAGGCGAAGAGATTAGTAAATATGTAGCAAGGCGGGAGACAAACTATACAACTTGATCCCCGCCTTATGAGACCCAAGCGTTGGCTTTAAGCTCCGTGTATAAGCACTCTCTAGCTCGGATGCCAAGTGGAACGAAGGAACGAATGGAGACTCAAAACACGTTTCTTGAGGCGACTCGGTAGTTTGAACTCATCTAACCTAGAGAAGGAAAGAAACTATTTGATGATAAGCTGTTGAAGTGCTGATTCACGACCCAGTTATCAGAAATTCTGATACCCGTCTTTAGCGAACTACGCTCATTTGGTTTTGACGGGAGATTCACCTGGAACACAGATGAACTTCTCGTTTAGGATGTTTTTAAGTAACTGAATGTGCTGCGCCAGGCTGCCTTATGTTTCAGTTGGTACGTATTCGAGATATGATAAGTGTATGCTTTTCAGTAACCTTATGAGTAATGTGTTACGTCTGTAGATATTAGTGTCTGTTCTTTCACTTGTAACGCGTCAAAGGGTTAAATGGGTTTGAACTTCACATCCGATTTTTTGTCATGATTTAATTTTATTTTTCCCCTTTAGCTGTGTGTTATTCTTCATTGTATTTATCGTATTCATACGAATGACCTGCATACCTTATTTCTTCCCACAGTGCCTAAGGGGTACATATGAGGTTTTCACAGTCACCGGTGCATTCAAACATCATTCGACATTAGCGAAAACAAAACAATTAGAGATCAAGATTCCATATCAGATTTTGAGAGATCAGTGGGTTTCGAAACAAACCCACTGTATCACCCACTTGATATGTAAGCATTTATCGCATGTTATCATCGGCTTGATGACACCCGTCTATTTGCGCTGTGTAGTACGACAACAGGCGGACTGAATGGCAACTGTGCTCCTTCAGAACTCTTGATTTGTCTTAAATGAATATATTTGAGTTAAAATATCATTCAAACTGCAGGTGAACTGGCCATTTTGAATAATTGAAAACAAACGGGTACCACATGACTATCCTAGATGATTGTAGTCGAAATGAATTCAGTCGAACCGGCTCACCCACAACAGGGAGACACTGAAAATTTATTCGTGATTTTTTGCCGGGTTACACAGAGGAAACTCCGGCATGACATATCACATGTCTGGCTGAATTCGCTTAGTTCCGATATTGTTGGAATCAAAAAACCAGGCCAGTGCACAACTCATTTCCACCACTTGCGATCACATGGCTCAAACTGTGGTCTATTTTTCGTGTCGATATTGGGTTTTCCATAAACGATCAATTCAAAAATTAGACCTTTCGTCAGTACGAGCAACCATACCACCGAACGAATCGGCCAATCAGAATATTGCAAAGGAATTCATGAGCTTTATTCTGATTGGTCATTGTTTTCCCGCCAATGACGGCCATGAATGCATTCCCACACAGCGACAAAAGTGCATGGTGCCGCCTGTGTTCGGTGCACGTACAATTGAACCTGGGCAAATTAATTCTGTTCACACTTCATTATGTATTCCGTAGAAAAATTCTTGTGATATCTGTCATGATATAAATCTGACACCGTCGAAAGAAGCCCCGGAATTTTGTGGATTATTTTACGCATCAACCAAAGTTTGAGACACCGATGGCAATCCACTTTTCTCATCCCCAGGTGATTCTCTACTGGACAGAATTAGTAAGTTTCGCTTATTAGTTTGCCTGACGTTGTTGGCGCTTGAAAGCTTTAGCGAGGGAATATCCCTAGACAGCATCTTTGAATTGTTCATTAGGCCGTTTTTCTGTTCGATACGCAGTTTGGATGTACCCAAAAATGTTTGGCAGCTAAAGTTCAGTGAAAGTGAAGCCAGAAAAAACAGTCACGATCCCGTGGCATCACAGAATATGCCAGCAAGAATTGAATAGAGTAAAAACAAATCGATATTTTTATACATCAAGAATTCTGTGAATCTCGTGCACTTTTTCTACTGTGAATGGCTCTTGCATACAGCGAATTTGTGGAAAGACACATAGAACGACCAAGCATTTACTCAGGTACACCAAACGAAGTGAATGTAGGCAGAACTGAGAAACACTTGAACACTGAGTCTGAATATAACTTGTCCGTCACTACAGTAAATTGCATTATAGAGACATGCTGAAAAGCTGAGACATTGGTTAAGGTCTTTTCATACGTATTGTGAACCGTCAGTCAAGCGGTATCCGCAAATCTCGAGAGTGAATGAAGTCAAAATCGTTAGAATAGGATTCATTCTTGAGGAAGGAACTTCAGATCCGAACTAGTGTTGAATGACAGGCGCTGCGGTATAATGAATCCTACCTCGTTCTGACTGGCCGCCTGCATTTATCTTGGAGTTACTACTCAGAGGATAATCCGGACGACTTGTTGGCTGTCGTCCTATCTCCAAATATTATCTAAATTTAATGGACCGTAAAACAACTTCAAACGATTATTTATGGATTTTGTTCCATTATGAAAACTGCATGGGTTTTAGACTAAAAAATAATTAAAAGCAAGGCATATTAACTGAATATATGGTTACGGAATCATATTTGCTCTCTCAGTATTGATGGTACTGTGGAATGATTTCAGCTTGTATCTCCTTTTTATGAATGATGCCGTTTTTGAAATGCATTGGATTCGTATAGCGTTTATTGACTATTCATCAAAAATTAACTCTGCTTTGGAGCAAAGGCTTCAGGATGGGAACTTTGTCACTCTAAAACTGTTGCTTTTTTTGGTTAGTTTTGCTTTCCTTCCACGACACTCTCGTTTGATTAGTACTTCTTCTACAACGCTGATAAGGACACACCACGGGACTGAGGTTCAACTTTATAAAGGTTCGGCGGCACTGCCGGGATTCGACTTCACGGGCATCTGACGTGCGCAGTAAACGTGTTGTCAATCAGTGGATTCATTGCTTCAGCGAACATAAACAGACCACTCAGGAACGTCAGCGAACATCGGGTGATTGTCAAGGACTCTGTAGTGTCGGGACCTACACTAAACACTAGAGAAAGACTTGGAAAATGGGGGAATCTTGGGACTACAGCGACTGGTAGCCGAAGCAACAAAAATTGCCAATCTTCCCAGCATGAATACGACAGAGGATGCATAACTGTTAAGCATGTAGAGAGGGGGCTTAGATCGGCTGGGATGATACGAGGTGATTTGCAGTTACTAGTGAAACGGTCTGGTTCTAAAACCACAGAACTTCAGTATAGTGAGATCCGCTTAAGTCTGACACTTTCAGTGCATACAGACCAACAAAATCTGTGACCGACTGCCAAGAGAATTGTTCCACAAAGTTGCCTAGAGGGGAGAATCACACCCTAAAGATCTTGATTCACTTTGGTGATAAGCTGTCTAACCAATCGTAAGCGTTGGTCATTCAGATTGACACGCAGCACAGACCAAGTCAACCTGTAGTAAGAAATCGAACCTGACTGCCTTAAAACTCTACCAGCCTGATGACTTATTCACTTGGCCCGACGAAGCTCTTGTGTCGAAAGCCCAGCAAAAAATCCACTGATTGTTCGCAAAACCTTGCCGAAACGGCGATCAATCAGTCCGTCCCAAATTGTTGTCGCCATCTTATTACCGCACGATGAATGCACCTGAACTATCACAGATTGGCGCTTGTCACGGCTGAGTGATACGACTGGTTTTCCCAATACACTGCCCAAAGGGACTTTGTTGACCTAATCGAATGATACTGGACTACCTCCTTGTTTCGAGATTATAAGAAGATATTTAATGGAGCCACCTTTAGACTGAGTCCTACAATAGAGCCTTTAGCCTTTCTGGCATCAGGAATAGTGATATGAACCCACAGCACATGACACCAGAGCTTTGTTTACAAGCCTGATTCCTGATTAGGAGTTATCAAAATGTCCTCAGGGTAGGGGATGTTGAATCATTTGTCCTAAATTGCAGGGGAATGGGTAAAACGATTACGTAAGTTGGGATACTTATTGAATCCTTTGGACCATGTGTGCCGTGAAGATGGGGAGTACATATGAAAATTCATCAGAATATGCTCATGAAATGAAAGAGTGAAGCCCTTTGAACCAGACGCAGGTTCGACGATCAAGAGTCATAGAAAAAACTCCCGGGGTGAATGATAAGCCTAATTATCAATTTTCTAACCAGTTTTTGCCTCATTTCTTGAAAAGAAAGGGAGCGAACCTCGCAGTATGTCGTTTATGTAAGCTCAGCTACCCAGGCAATCAGTAATGTTAAACAAGAATACTGGCCGCATTGGTGGATGACTTTGCTTAGGCAGAGCGATCGACCTCTCCCAGAAAAAATCTTCAAAGTTGGTAATATTGGGATTATGAAGATGAGAACATTAGGCGTTTCTCGAAAACGCTAATTCATTTACAAAAGGATAACCCTTCGATAAGTTAGGAAAGCTTTGGAATGGCAACACGCCACTCATTAAGTAGTGATTTTTGTTCATCTGAATGGCATAGTATGACCAGTGGTCTAAAGTTTGAGGTCAAATTTGAAAACCCAAGCACTATAGTGACATCCAAGAGTGAAAGTGGGTGATAAAAGCGAAAGCAGTTTCCTAAAAATCATCTCAGATAAGCACTTATTGAAAGCAGTGGCAATACGAATATACGTGCATTGCGCTATCTCGAATATCGTAGCGACTGAAACATGAGGCGGCCTGGTGCAGCACATTCAGTTGCCTGGAAACATCCCGAACGAGAGTTTCGGCTGAGTTCCAGGTGGTTCTCTCGCGAAACCAAATTTGTTTGCAACTGAGTACAGTTCACTAATTTCGTGCCATTTGGTTTCATTTAGAATATGAGGTTGACGGAAACTCGGGGAGTGCGCCTACCTGATGAGTTCCAAGAAGGGCGAAACCGGTCATGGGCTGTCAACAACTTTTCAGCAACCTTATGAGTAGTGCATTACGAATATACATGTATCGCGATATCTCAAATATCGTAGCAACTGAAACATGAGGCGGCCTGGGGCAGCACATTCAGTTGTATGGAAACATCAGAGATTCAGCTAGGTTCCAAGTAAGTCTCTCGAAGAACAAAATTAGTTTGCAAATGAGTGTATTTGGCTACCAAACTTCGCCAAAAATTGTTGCGAAAACGAAAAAGGAAGTTGCTCTGACCAGAAACTAAGGACAGAAGCATCAGTTGATGTCGATGTATAAAATGGAGCCAAGCAAATGTGCATAAGGTTACAAGACAGTCAATCAAATGCAGTAGCCAGCCATGGCACATGAGGTAAACAGTGATAAATGTTAGATGAACAGGTGGATTGATGGACGGACCGACCCAGTTGTCAATCAATCAGTTAATCAATTAATAGGTGGATGTATGGGTAAACAGCTAGAAACCTAAACTGATAAATAGACGGGTAGATAGATTGCTTGGTTGATTGATCAATTGACTGATTGATCGTTTAAGGGAGAGATGAACTGGTTGACTGACTCGCTGATTGATTGATTGAGTGAGTGACTGATTGATTGATTGATTGATTGATTGGTTGGTTGGTTGGTTGGTTGGTTGGTTGGTTGGTTGGTTGGTTGGTTGGTTGGTTGGTTGGTTGGTTGGTTGGTTGGTTGGTTGGTTGGTTGGTTGGTTGGTTGGTTGGTTGGTTGGTTGGTTGGTTGGTTGGTTGGTTGGTTGTCACAAAGTGGCACATAACGGTGGACATGAAAAGTGGACTTGTCAATCAAGCTACCATGAAGTCTGAGTTGGAGGCAAAATTGTTTAGTAGACGAGAAATCATGAAAGAGGTCGACTAGATAAACAGCTACATTTACATACATTGCAAACAAGACTAATCTGGCGTGGTTTTCAGTAGATAAAAGCTTTCGTGTAACTATCTTAGTGCGAAGGCTCTCTGAGGCGAAAAAAAACAAACGTATACTTACAGTGGATGGGTGTCGTCAAACAAGCAATGCCTGAATGGGAAAGAGGCCCAAGTTCATCAGCTTGAAGCCCATCACCTTAAAGAAGTCCGGTCCCTCCAGATGTTGGCAAAAGCATTATCGTTGTTCACTGAGAACGAGAAGAGAATAACCCACCGTCAAGAGCAAAGAAACCCATGTCAGCGTGCAGCAAGGAGTGCCAAAGCGTAGCCAAAGGAACTATACAAGTGTATGGTTACAACCACTCAGAGAAAAAGCTTTGAAGTGAGGTAGCAACCGGTCCTGTAGGAACACTCTAGAATAGGAATGTAAGCGAGGGGGAGCGTCACCCGATCCTATCTTGGTCACATTTTAGTAGGGTTGGGAAGGCGAGAAGTGGAACGATACCCTTCGTCCACCTTGAAGATGGGGATATTATTGACAGTCGTCAAACGTCAGCGTGGAAGATGCACATTAATGGATTTCGCATAAAGTAGATTTATTCAACCTGTTACACTGAAGCAGAATAACAAATATCCCGTCGGGGCCAGCAGACCCTTGCAACTAACAAGATTTAATCACCAAGTACTATCCAGATATCGAAAGCATGTTGTCGACAGGAGATGGAATGAAGTCCGGGACAGCGGTAGGGCGCTTTTAGCAAATAAACGACTAGAGTAAAAACGCTTGCCTAACTCTCCCTTGTAAATAACACTGTTACAGGTTGATGAACCCAAACTCACCACTTTCGACACAAACCACGCCTTGTTTTTTCTCCACTATGTTTGTACACACAGCACGACAATAATAGTAAGCTTCCCCTTTCTCCTTCAAGCTCTCTTGATGCACTTGAAACCAGCCAATCCTCTGGTGAAGAAAAAATTTCACGAGGAACTTGACAAGGTAGGAGAGGCATGTACGGCAATTAATTTACTATGGTAGCTGAAAAAAACAAAATACTATCTAGCGCAACACTGCGCTCGCAGATGGGTTGAAGATTGGGTGCGATAAAAGAACTACGGTAGCGAAATTTTCGGGGAAATGAACAGAGTGTGATTCCTTTTTCGGCCAGCTCAAGAATTACAAACAAAAAGCCAATGAGAGAAAAGGTTTAAGGCAAGCCTTACTAGGATAACCTGATAAGGACTTCCAAGGCGATTGGCCTGAAACGTAGGAGAATTCATGTAGTGTATTCGTCGCATGAAACTTGAAGTCCACAGATGGATTAGGGGACGAAACTCTTCGAAGGTCGGGTAGGAAATTCTGTATAGAGGAAACTGTAGAAAATG